CTCTCTCTCTCTCTCTCTCTCTCTCTCTCTCTCTCTCTCTCTCTCTGTGTGTGTGTGTGTGTGTGTGTGTGTGTGTGTGTGTGTTTGTGTGTGTGCACCCAAACACACACACACACGCATGCACGATCACGCACACACCCACAGGGAGTGCCCCGGACGCACGCACGCACCGACGGACAAGATCGCAGAAGACAGGCCGACAGTGCAGGAAAGTCTCAGACGGGTATATACCGCCACCGATCCTGTCGATTGAGGTCGAAAGGCGAAAAGACGAACGGCGGCACGGCATTACTCTACGCTTTGGACTTTCCTCATGGCGTTCTCGCTCGTTGTCGCGCCGGTCATAATACCTTTACTTCTGCGGCCCGGCGATACTTCTTCCGCGCAATTCGCTTGGTAATTTTTGGAAGCAATCAAATCTTCCTCCTCGGCGGAGTTGGCCCTAGTAGTAAGCAAAAGGCCTCCTCTTTCCACGTCCCCCGATCCCGATCCCGATCTCGTAGCAGGTCTCGCCTCCGTTGTCTCCTCCTCCCTCATCTTCTCCAGCTTGAGTCTGTTGTAGTAACAGACCCCCATGAACGCGATGCCATAGCCGACGATGTTGACACGCGTCACAGGATCGTGGAACTGATTCCATGAGAAATAGATTAGCATCCAGTCCTTCACCACACCGGCTATGTTCATCGTAAGAGCTGACGTCTTTCCAATCAGCAGAAACACAGCGAGATTGAGAGCGAAGGCAACAGCGGCATTGGATGTGAAGATGAAGTAGTCGGGAGACCACGACGACATCCTCAACAACGTAGGCAATTCGACAAAGAGCCATGGAATCAGGACGAAGCCTAACGAACACGGAGCGACGTAATACAAGGTAGTAATCGGATTCATGGAGTAGCCTTTCTTCGTCAGAAGGAACTCTACAAGAACCAACCTTGTGGCCTCACAAGCGATGGCGGCGAGCTGCACTACGAGTCCTATGACCACAAGGGTCACCTCTCCCATCGCAGCTATGGCAACCCCTTCTGACACCGTAATCACGGTCAGCATCACTTCCGATGAGAACCCCTCCTTTCCCATCGCTACGCCGAGGGAATAGACGGCAACAGGCATTAAGGCTTTCAGCATCTGAATGAACGAGACAGAAAGATAAATGTAAGCGGAATTGGAGAACCAGAGGGAGAGAGCATACAAGGCGCCGATCGGCAATACCGAGGTCGTGTATGCTTCTCTCGACAAGCCGATCGGCTCGACCCACTTGAAAACCCGGACTATGAGAAAGGCGAGGACGGAACAGAATGCCATGTGGACCAAAATTAGGGTTAACGGATAAGGAAAATTGTAAAATTTGCTGCTCAGGATCCATTTATTATAAACAATAACGGCAAAACTCAACGAAATCCAGACCGCCACATAAAAATAGCTCATCAGAGCTTTATGAATCAACGCCGTTCCACTCGACAATCCCCTCCCCCCCGCCCCTTTACCTTCTTCTCTCCCCATTCTCTCCTTCTTCTTCTTCTTCTTCTTCTTCTTCTTCTTGTCTCTCTTGGGGCCTTCTACGCCGCCCTCCTCCTTCTGCTCCTCTTCCCCCTTCGCACGCGTCGTTGACGTCAGTCAAGTGTAATTAGCTATGATCGCATCCCTCCCTCGTCCTCTAACGTTCGCACTCCTCTTCTTTGGATGGACATCACCCCGATCCCACATTCCCGACTTCCCTCCCTGCTCCCCTCTCCTCCCCCCCCTTCCCTTCTGCCTCCCTTCTCTCCTTTCTCCCTCCCTAATTACCTCGTCACGAGAAACACCACGGAAAGAAGACACTAACGACCGCCCTCTCTTTCCACTGGATCGCGTATTACGGCCTTCGCACAGAGAGAGAGAGAGAGAGAGAGAGAGAGAGAGAGAGAGAGAGAGAGAGAGAGAGAGAGAGATGCCTGACGAGGGGGCACCGTTCTGCCACGGAGGGCTCTGAACCCTTGCAACTTCGACTTGCACACAGAGAGAGAGAGAGAGAGAGAGAGAGAGAGAGAGAGAGAGACGCCTTGCGAGGGGCCACAGTTCTGTGGGGGAGCTTCGACTTTCAGGTGAAGCACTCTCAACTACCGCTAACGACGATGGTGTGGCGAAACGGTACTACTCATCAACACATCAGGCGAGAATCTACGAGAGAGCGGGGACGAACAGGAAGGAGTGTACACGTCAGAACATTCCTCACACTCCAATACATCAGGGCAGAGTGGCAAAATTTAATACTTTTCGTCAGAACATTCCTCACACTCCTCTGGAGAGAGCTCAGTGGACCTTCCCTTGCTCACATCCCTCTGGAGAGTGGAGAGAGCTCAGTGGACCTCTGCGTGGCGAAAGGTCGTCCCGACCGACCCTGCCGACCACCTCCTCATGGAGTCATCATCCAGCGTAGGGGCCTCGCCACACCACTGTCGAAACGCAAAAAGTACCGCGTAAAAAAAAAAAAAAAAAAAAGTTCCGAGTGCATGCCGAGTGCAGAGAGTGGCGAGATACAATCCTTACTATGAGTAGTAACGCATGCACCTGTCCTTCTTCTGAGGAAGATGCACTCTCGTCTCGTTTCGTTTCGAAAGTGGTGTGGCGAGGCCCCTACGGTAGTACCACCAACTGAGTGTAGCTCAGTTGGTAAACCGTTCAAGCGGCACTCAGGAGGTCTGCCACGATGGTGCCTGTGGCATGCTTGGCGTCTTACCTTGGAGACGGTCAGTTGGTAATGCAAGTACCTGGTATCTCAGTGGTAGAGCTCCGGTGTTGCAACGCGGAGGTTGCGGGCTCTACTTTGTAGGCCTACAATTTCCCCCGAGCACAATTGGTTGGTGTAGGTTGCACCCCACGTACTTGGCCCGAGCCTGGCATAGCGCCCTTACAGACTAATGACCTCAATAGCTCAGTGGGTAGAGCTCTGATATTGTAACTTGGAGGTCCCGAGTGAGCATACTAAGCTCACTCATCATGTCTATATATACTGTTGGTCATATCAGCTAGGGATGATCGTCTGGACGGATTTGGGTGGGGACGAGTGCCTTTCCTGCGGGAGAGTTGACAAGGGATGGATGCTACTCTCTCGGGTCGGAGAGTGGTGAGGGGTTGTTTGGGTGCATCGTGATACCGTTGTCAGGCGGCCACAAGCAGTGCGCCACCTGAAATCTACGGTTTTGGGACTTAGGCTCGAAGGCAAGTCCGTGTTTTGACGGTACTCTGGTTTGACCGGGYGGCAGAAATTAGGGGAACTCAAGGTACCCCTGATTCTGGGCACACTGAACCTTAGAGTAACCCTCAGAGATAGCGAGATGGGTGGGAACACTCGGCGTAACTAAGAGACCGTAATTTCCGGCCGTTTAGAGGGTTGGACCCGGATCGGCCTGCCACGGAGAGGCATCGTGGGAACAGACCTCGCCGTAAYGTTTTTGCAGCATACGGCCGGGGCCGAAATGAGGCCTCAAATTTTTGTTTATTTCAGTACCATCATTAAAGATGGGGAAAAGGGATAAGGACCAGTAGGGGAGAAGGGAAAAATGTAATATCCCTTAATGTCTTTGTTTTTCACGACATTTAATTCTAGGGGGAATACCCTTGTTATTTTATGTTCCCGGCAATGGAATTAAAATCATAGAAAAAGATTAAAAATGGTGAAAGAGAAAAGAAACAAAAGGGATTCGACCATTTATTTAAACCTTCTCGAAACTTAATATTGAGGAGCTTACGGTTAATTTACTATTTCCGACAATAGAATTCAGAAAAGGAGAGAATGATTAAAAACGATGAAAGGGACGGGAACCCATGACTATTGGGAGATTGGCCAAATTTCACCTCGATTACCCGCCTTCAGCTCTGACCCCAGATCGATCATTTTCCTCGGATTTTAACAGTTTTTCACTACTGCCGATGGTCGAGGTTCCCTGCGTCGCTTTCCTTGGTTTGCTTGATTACTAACATTACCGCAGTCAAGATGTTCTGAGAGCGGGAGTCACATGGACAGCCTGGGGCGGTGCTATCTTGGGTCGACAGTATGGTGTTTGGTTCGGTACGGATACGAGGGTTGTTACGGAGTGGCTACGTCCTGCGGTGTCTGACGTGCTCCAGGCTCGGTATGGGCCCGGTGATTTATTCTCAGGACCGGGGCCACCACGACAGTTATTCCAGGTTTGAAACCTTGGCGGCAGCTTGTTTCAGGCCCGGAAACGTTGCAGCATTCTATATCAGATTCGGGAGAGGTACGTAATTATCATGGCACGGTTGTACGGGTTCGGCATCCGTTTGGCACAGCAGTCCGGTATTGGATTTCGGGTTTGGTCAAGTTCGGAGTGCTTCTCGCCATTGTATTGTACCACATGTGTCTCGTCGGCCTCGTCCCGGTCGCGTCTCGCAGAAGGAGATCGCCTAGGAAGGCCGACAGGATGGCTAGACGACTGCCGAACGGCAGACCGGCAGGCACATCCGGCGGATCTATCAATCGCCAACGCAGTACGGGGTCGGTGGCGAAGCAGCCGTACGACCCGAGGTTGTATGCGCACTTCCCTTCTCACGAGATTCCTCTGTCGTCGTCGGATGACGAGGGGGGGGAAGCCAGGTCGCCTACTTTGCCGTTGGGAAGCGGTTCTACCCAGGACTGGGTGGCGACGCAATCGTGCGGCGGCAGGGGGGTGGAGACGCCGTGGTCTTACACGTCACTTCTGAACGAGGGGTTGTGCGATGACGACGGCGATGCAGCGGTCCATCTGAGCTTTCATCTGTCGAGCAGTAGCGGAGCAGCCGCAACGCACAGGGTGGGGATTGTGCGGAAAACACGCAAGGCGATGTCTGAGGCCCACGAGACGGCAATCTGCCTCAATCGGTTCACGACGGTGGAGGTGATCGTAATAACTCGTCGCCGAGCGTCGGTGGAGGATTCGGTGCGCGTAAACGACCGGACTGGATGCGCTTGTCGCTTGCTACGCGAAGCGGACACGGCGCTACTCGAGGGCGACAGCCGACGGAGGATTTGATTGGGAAATTTCCGGACGTGCAACGCAACGGCAGGCAGGTATGGGCAGAATGCAGGCAGGAGTTGCATCGAGGTGAAATGGAGACGATCACCAGAGGGGTGCAACGGCTGCACGTCGACGAAGTGGAAGACGCGGCTGTTGATGAGGGGCAGGGGTGTGGCGACGTGGACGGCGAGGACGGTTGCAAGTCTGACGATTTACCAGACATCAGGCCGCTTGGGAGGAGGGCGACAAGAGGCGGATCCGGTGCGAAGAAGGGCCCCGCCATGAAACCGAGACAGATGAAGAACATGGATGACGATGGCGAGGGCGGCCGGAATTTCTGGTCTGTGGGAGATACGGCCGCGCTCGTGAGGGCGAAAAGGGATCAAGATCTCTATATCGCCGGCCTGGGGACTAGTTTCACCCACATGAAAACGGCTGTGTGGAAGTGGGAGGACGTGCGGGTGAGGTTGCAGGCGATGGGAGTGACGAGGGATGCCGTCGACTGCGGGAGGAAATGGGACAACTTGATGCAGCAATTCAAGAAGGTGCACAAGTTTCAGAACCTCTCCGGCGGGAAGGACTACTTCAGGCTTGCTTTGAGGGAGAGGCGATCGGAGGGCTTCAGCTTCGTCATGGACCGGAGCGAGTACGACGAAATGGTGGCCATGACGAAGGGGGATCGCACGATCCACCCGGCAAATTTGGCGGACACTGGGGCGGCGGGGGGGGTTCAAATGCCCGCAGGCGCGGGGGGGGATGGGGGCACCATGGGCGCCGATGGTGGAGGGGAGACGACAGACGAGGAACAGGAATCGACGAAAGACTCGTCGTTCAGCGCGGGAAGCGGCGGCGGTTATGGGAAGAGGAAGAACATGCGGCAACAAACCTTTGAAGCCGTCGCCGATGTCATGGAGAAGCACGGTGCGCTCATGGCGAGCACAATGGACAGCGCCAGCAAGCGGCAGTGCTCTGTGATGTCGCGGTAGTACGAAATCCTGGAGAGCGAGGTGGAAGTGCAGAGGAAACACTATGCAGCGGCGGATGAGGCGAATAAAATGATGTGCAACGCCCTGTTGGAGATAGCAAAAGCCATCCGCGAGAGATCATGAGTGGTGCGCACTTTCATGTCCATCCGCAGATAGAGCGAGAGTGTATATGTGTGTATGTGTGTGTGTGTGTGTGTGTGTGTGTGTGTGTGTGTGTGTGTGTGGGGGCGGCCGGGTGGGTGGGTGGGTGGGTGTCGAAGGCAAAAGCTTTGCACTACCTTATTTTTAGAATTGTTCCTTTTGTTGTGTTTTTGTGATAAATATATATATATTTTTTTCTGCGTTTCTTCAAACATGGCAGTGCTCTGCGCGGCATTTGCGGTGTCCCTGGCGAGAGGGGCACGTGTTGAGTGGGTCATGCCAGTCTACGATTGCGCGGCGGGTGTCGTAGCAAACAAGGGGGGGGGGGGGGGGTTGGGGGTGTTGGTGGGGGCAATGCTCTGGAGGAAATTCACATCGGCCCCTGGTGTTGTATGGATGTGCGCCCGTGCAAGCGTGGAAGGGTCTGTACAAGCAATGCAAGGTGCCACGGCGACGGGAGTAAGGATACACGCCGCGCATGAAGAAAGGCCACCTCAAGGCGCCATGCCGTCCACGCCGTCACAGCCGCGACCACGCAACACGGCTGCAGATGGASGGTCTACCGAGCGCGGGGGAGGCGAGGTGGCCCAGCAAGAAGCGCGCGTGGCGAGCGCTGGTGCAGGCGAGGGGTCCTCGGGCAATGTCGCTGTCGTGGCGGGGGCGAGAGAGGAGGTTCCTGTTGTGGAGCGGGAGGTTGCGCGTGGCGAGAATAAGGGCGAAAGAGAGGACGACGACCGCCTTTTAAGCCGGGAGCGGAGGGGAGGGTTGGCGAGAGATCTTGCCGACCGTGCCCGCCTGTGGGTCGACGACAAAGCGTTCTGGACAACAAGGGAGGGGCGCCGGCTCTACGACATCGTCCACTGAATGCGGGAGCACTTCGAGGCCATCGACAGCGGGGTGCAAGCGCCCATCGTGTCCAGGAGCGTCGTCATGCCGAAATCCGCGACGACCCTCACGAGGATTGCTGATCCCGCTCAACTACAGCAAGCGATCAGCCGCGGGGGGGCCTGCAGAGAACATAGTTTTGCGCGTCTTGCATGAGTGGGTGTTCAAGTCAGGGAACCGCCCCCTCGGATACAATCTCGCTTTCCAGTACGCGTTGGAGTCGGTGGCGACGGACCTTGCTTGAGTTCTGTGGTACGACGAGGAGTGGAGCAACATGGTGAGCGCGCCCGTTTGCGCGCACACGATCGACCTCAATATGGACTTGCCACTGTGGTTTGCGGGGGTGAACATCGACGAGAGGCCGGCGGACGACGACATGGCTGCGTACCAGGAGTCGACCGTCGTGTGCGTCGCGCATGCATTTCGCGCCGCCGTGCAAATGGTTGGCAGCGTCGACGGCGGGTTCATATCGCACGATCGTCTGTTGAGGATCGCGGATTGCTTCAGGCTGTTGTTGGCTGCCTGCATGTGGTTGATGCGCATGGCGGGAGACGATCATCGTAGCCACTACGAAGCCTTCTACTTCCCGCAGCTGGTCGCGAAGCCCACGCTGATCCCGTCCATACATTTCAGGACCGGGACCACTGTGACGATTTATTTCAGGTTCGGAACCTCTACGGTGATTTATTTTCAGGTTTGGGACGACTGCGGTAGTTCATTTCAGATTCAAAACCTTGGCGGCAGTTTATTCCAGGTTCGGTACCATTGTGGCAGCTTATTCTCAGGTCCAGGATCATTGCGGCGATTTACTTCAGGATCGGTACTATTACCGCGTTGTTGCATCTTGCCGTGTTCGACATGTTTCAGGTATGGTATTGGCTCGGCATTGGCGTGGTACACGCCGCGGCATCATTCTCAGGCTTGGTCTTGGGTCTGCATCGGCACGCTCCAGACCCTGCATTGGTACGACGTTGAAATGTCACAAGCATCTGCGTGGTCTCGGGCCAGAAATTGCCGCGGTGTCAACAAGTATTACTCTCGCTTTGGTCCGGCTATTGACAACGCCGGCGACTGGGAAATTTCGAAATGGTTATGTCAAGTCTGGTGAAGAACAAAGGTCGTGGTTGATCGCAAAATTTCTTTTTTTTGGAACATAGGTATAGGCCCCTAATCCAGTCGGAAGTGGACATTTTGGGACGGTACTAAATTCTGTCTGGAACAACCTGGGTATGCCTGGATCTGGCCGGGCTTGAAGGGGGGGGGAGACCAAGCCGCCACCCCACGACCGGGTTGGTCCTGCTATGACAAGGGATCACCTGATTGACTTGACTATAACGGCCATGCCTAGGGACTGCTAACCTGGAGCGGGCATTTGAAACACTCAGCAGGACACCACTGCTGCAGTACCCAGCTCAATGATTCAGGCCCCCGTCGAGTTGTGCTAACCAGCCTTTTTTGCCACTGAGCCCACGATCCGCAGACGTACGTTGCGGGGCCGTGTGGAGGTACCAGGAGGGAGAATGCTGACACAGAGGCCAAGGATACAATTATCAGGAGACTGAGCCCCCATGTACTGGGCCGGAATCGCTGGGAGATACGGGCTCGGTTAATATCGCGAGTGTACAGCCTACTGGGTCTCCAGGCGGTTGGGGCAGACGGAGGAGAACACTCAGCCACGTCGCACATGTCTGGAGAACAGCATGAGCCGGGCGGACTGAAGGCTACATAGGGGATACGGGCGGTGGCAGAGGTGTGCATGCACGGTGTACCCGGCGCACTTCGTAGCGGTATGCAGGCGGGGGCAGTTGAGGGACGGAAGGTGCGGGCGAGCAGGGAGTACGCAGTTGATACTAGCGAAAGTCTGTTGGGAGAGAATCGGACACGGGAGTGAGAGGCGTGCACGGCGCAAGCAGCCTTCGCGCGTGGAACGTGAGATGACAAGGTGAGATGATAATGGGACGACGTACGAGCTGACCGCTTCTCGTATGTGACGGGGCGCCGGCGTCAGAGACACTCGCAGTAGGGAGAGGACCGAACAAGGGAGCTCGGTGCGCGAGCTACCGGGGTGCCTCTCACAACTACAGTAAGTGGATGACCCTGCCGATGGGCCACGGGTWAGAGTACGGCGTAAGAACGCAGCRTGSGYGCRAATCCCTTCCCAGACAASGAACGCGTGAGCCTGACAGTGCGAGCGAGTGGTAGTGAAAGTTCACTGAGATGGAGATGCCGCAAGCATTTAGAGTGAGCAGGCACAGAGAGTGTGAGAAGGTGAGTTGCGTTAGCCATGGCGGGATGAGCTGGAAAAGGGCTGAAAGGAAGGAACACAGGGCATGACTTCCAGCCCGAGGTGTGACTCCCATTAGTGCCGAGCGAGGGAGCTGCTAGCGCACGCTAGCTAGAAAGACAGAACTGTGCGGGGAGCATGGGTAAGCGAGGAGAAGGAGCTCTTGGTGGGGGTACAGCAGGGTGCGAGACATGCCTATTGGCCCGACTAGGCGGAAGGGACGAAACATGTAGGTGAGAGCCCTTGGCGCGCGTAACGACCAAGCAAACCATGCGTAAGACCGCGGGGCGAGTGAAAGGAAATCATCGGGGAGGCAGACRAAGAGCTGAAGAGACGGGAAGGGAASGCTGCCCGCGCGGCTAAAGGTTGGGAAACCGTCGAGAACTAACACGAGGGGCGAAACCGAGTGAAGGACGGACAGTTATTCRGGACCACGTCGGAATCGAACGGGAAGAAGGCAGCAACGAAGAGATGGTCGACATCGGTCAAGGGCGAGAAGGGGGAGCCAAGGTTGGGTTTCCGTGATAAAGACTAGMGACGTATGYCCCCAATCACTGCTCGACTTGACTGGTAACAGCGGGYGAGAACYGACAGGTGAAACCGAAACYGAAGMTCTAAAAGATAGCGTGTGTAGGTTGTCGTTCCCTACATTTGACCGCTATTCATTGACAGASAGGSGAAACGAAAGYTGAACCCTCTCTTTACCTGATGAGCAACTGYAGTCTTGTTTGCTCGTTTCGCTCAAAATTGTCTCATCCTTGGTCCCCGTATCTGACGAGCAACTTTGATCTCATTTGGACATCTGGCTCGAAGTTATATCAATCTCGGATCTTTTTTTTGYCGAGCCACCRCARCCTTKTCACGTGCAACTGCAGAGCTATTAGTTTGTTTGGCTCAAAATTGTTCTTACCCCYGCATCTCTGAATCGCARCTGCCCCCGATTCTCTCGAYCATAGGGGGCGGGATCATCTCCGAGGGTGAAGGAAGGAAAAGACAGCGGATGCAAGGGAAAGTGAGAAAGGACAGCGAGAAAGAAAGAAAGGGGAAGCAACGGGGAATGGCGTGAGTAAGGGAGAGAGCATTGGGCGAGAGAGGGGGGAACAGCAAGAAAGAGAGACAGTGAACTGCGAGAAAGAGAGACAGTGAACTGCGAGAAAGAGAGACAGTGAACTGCGAGAAAGAGAGACAGTGAATTGCGAGAATGAGAGACAGTGAACTGCGAGAATGAGAGACAGTGAACAGTGAGAATGAGAGAGAACAATGAGGGTGAGAGAGAGTGAATGGCGAGAGTGAGAGGGGAGGAGAATCGGGAAAGAGAGATTAAGACGGAGGGGAGAGGAATAGAGGGCAGGAAGACCTCTCTGAGGGGAACAACAATGCTTAATGGCGCGTGAACTTGTCCTTTCTACAGTTGACTGTGAAGATCACGTGCCTCACGACTTTGTCTAATTGTCATATTTGCAACTGTTTGGACTTGCCAAACCAAAGGAGAGCTGGCGAAGCTCGTCACCATTTCGTTGCTCTCAGTGTAGGGAAAATTTGAACTAACCAGTTGTGGGATTTTGATGCCTGTTTGCTCGAGCTTATCATTGGGAGAGTGTTTCTGAGTTGTTATATAAGCATCCGAGCTCGCTGTGGGACGAGCCGCTGACTGTTGTTGTTTTTTTTTTTTTTTTTTTTACTGCAGAACGAACTTCCTGATCTGACGATCGAGTTACCAAACCTGTTGGGGCACGAGTATGCGAAGCAGCCCATTGGCTGTCCAAACTTGCT